TGTACACGGATGCGTCGTCTCTCGGCTGGGGTTTTGTGACCAGTGCTCACCAGGCTGGCCAGGGGCGTTGGGATCTGTCCTTCCGTCGAGCTCACAGCACGGTGCGGGAGTTCGTGGCAGTGTGGTTTGCTCTGGGGAGGATTCGGGTGGCCCGCGGATCAACGATTCGGCTCCATTCGGACTGCTCTCCGGTGGTTCATTGCCTGAACCGCGGGGGTTCGATGCGGTCCTTGTCTCTTTGGGGTTGGTCGCTTCGGGTGACTCGTCTGCTGAGTTCTCGGGGTTTGGCTCTCCTGGCGGTTCACGTACGGGGCGTGTCCAACGTCTTGGCCGACGCCCTGTCTCGCTTCGTTCCCCTCTCCACGAAGTGGACGGTCGACGACGAGTCCTTCCATTGGCTTTGCCAGATGTTCGGGCGTCCCGAGGTGGACCTCTTCGCGTCGGCATAGTCGCGGCGTCTTCCTGTTTATGTGGCGCCCTTCCCCGATCACGAGGCCGTCGGGGTCGATGCCTTTCGGCTAGACTGGTCGAGGTGGGGGTTCCTGTACCTCTTTCCTCCGGTTCGGCTGTTGCTCCAGGTCCTGACTCACTTAGAGACTTACCAGGGGAGAGTTGTCCTTCTGGCCCCTTGGTGGCCTGCCCAGCCTTGGTTTCTCGGTGTCCGAACCCGAGGGTTTTCCCGCGGCTCCGCCTCTTTCAGCAGATCGGGCCGGTACGTCACGTGGCTGGTTCGATCTTCTCCTCGAGTCTTCGCGTATGGGTTTTTTGACTCGAGTCAATCATCATCTCTATGGTGATCAGGTGGCCTCCTTGTTGGTGTCCCACCTGCGGGCTTCTTCTCGGCGGCAGTATGAAGTTTCCTGGCGGTCCTTCCGTTTCTTTTTGTGTCTTCGTCGTGTTAGTTCCTTGTCTGTTCGGGTGGTCTTGTCCTTCCTCTCGTGGTTGTTTCAGGACCGTCATCTTATGCCTAACACTGTCGCCTCGTATCGTGCGGCGCTGGCGGAGCCGCTTCAGCTTGCTTTCGGTATCGATGTTACGTCTGCGCCGTTTCGCAAGCTGTTTCGTGCATTGTTTCACCTCCGGCCTGCTCATGCGTCGCCTGAGCCGTCCTGGTCTTTGGACAGAGTGCTCGCTTTCCTTTCGTCTCCTCGTTTCGTTGTGGCCCCTTCGGTCCAGGATTGTTTTTCCAAGGCACTTTTCTTGTTGGCTTTGGCCTCTGGGTGTCGGGTAGGGGAGCTTCATGCTCTCCTCCGGCGCAGAGGTTTCTGCTCTTTTGGTCGTGGTGATTGTTTTGTTCGTTTGCAGCCGTCTCCTTCTTTTCTTGTGAAGAATGAGACTGCTGCGTTCCGGAGGGGTCCATGGGTGGTTGATGCTTGGTTGGTCAGGCCGGGGATGCATCATGTTTTGTGTCCGGTTGCGGCGCTTTGCCGTTATTTGCGCGCCACGGCTTCTGTGTCCAGGGACGCGCTGTGGGTTGATCCGGTTTCCCTTCTTCCCTGTTCGCGGGTTCGGGTCTCCCAGGTCGTCCGCAGGGTTATTAAGTCCAGCCAGCCTGCAGTCTATCCCCGTGCCCATGACGTTCGTAAGATCGCGGCTCTTGCTGCCGTCTTTGGGAATATGTCTTGGTCTGATATTCGGGCGCGGGGATTTTGGCGGTCGAACAGGGTCCTGGCTGCTCGTTACCTTGTGAATGTCCCTGGACCCCGTCGGGCCTGTGTTGCTTTGGGTCGGCGGTTGCAGCCAGTTGTCTCGGCTTCGAGTTGAGGAGTGAGCGACGACCACCTCCCAGGTAAGTCCCTCTTTTTCCGTCTGTGGGTAGTTAGCTCCGGGGAGCCGACAGGGCTCCCCCCTGAAAACCAGCATTGAATGTAATGAAACGCCATTTTCTGGGTGAGTCCCGGAGGCTTCCCGGCATCCCTTCCTCCCTCCGGTCGGCGGTTTTTCGCGTTTTTGGCGGTATGTGACGTCACACTAGTTTGCTTGTTTTCGGTTGGGGAGTTTTATCCACTAGTTCGGCTTTTGGTAGCAATTTTAACCAGAATAGGGGTTTGTTTTGAGGCGCTTACCTTTCTGGGTGCCTGTTCCGGTCGATGGCAGACATAGAATGCTTCCAACCACACGGGGGCTTCTATAGGCCATTGCTCCCATTGCCTCTCTGAGTGGGCCCGGTTCTGGCCGTGGTCCCCGGTAGGCCTAAGAACTCCATACACATGACTGATGAAAAAGTCTGACATTAGCATATCAGCCTGGGATAGCTCCGGGGAGCCTCCGGGACTCACCCAGAAAATGGCGTTTCATTACATTCATCGCTGGTTTTATCTGACCATTCTTGTAGCTTCTTTAGGTCCTTCAGAGCTTTGGAATCATATCTTCTCTTAATTTTCCTCATCAGTTTGGCTTACTTTCCCAGGCAGATCATTCACATGTACATGTACAGTGGCACCTCGATTAACGAGTTTAATCCGTTCTGGCACCGAGCTCGTTATGTGGAAAACTCGTCTTAAGAAACAAATTTTCCCATTTAAAATAAAGGAAATAAATTTAATCCGTTCCACTCCCAAAAACATCCATACTTGTATGACATTTTTTAATGTAAATATAATACTGCACATGTAATTATAAATGTTTTCTTGTACTGTTTTCATTTTTACTTTACCTTATGAAGAGTCGTTGCTGGCTTGAGGGAAACTTGGGGAGTTTCCCACCTCCCCAAGCCAGCAGCCAACGTTGCTGGCTTGGGGAGGTGGGAAGGAGGAGAGGGGTTATGGTGTGGAGGGAGAATCCACCTCTTGTGTCAGGCAGGCTCTCTCTTCTTGGGAATTTCACCCCACTGAGACCGGGTTGTGGTTCACTCTCACTGGCTCTTCTTTTCTCTACTTTTGTAAAGAACAAGTCTATTGACAATTGCTTTTGTCTTTGTTTTAGGATGTTCCTAAAACGAGACAGCAAATTGTCATTAAACATGTTCACACATCAGGTTGTCACTGCTTTATCAGGGTGATGTTTTTCTAAGAATGCGGTCACCTTTTCAAACATTCCCAACACTTCCCTGATCTCACTTGAAGAGGCAGCAGCATCCTCCCCTACCTCCTCCTCCCCTGATGAGAGCTCTTGTGCCTCCTCTTGATTAAGCTCCTTCTGAAGTTCCAGGCGTTCCTCAGTGGTCAGTTCCTCACTGTGCTCCTCCACTAACTCCTGCACATCGGCAGCATCCAACTCCAGACCCAAAGTTTGCTCCAGAGCAACAATATCATCTACTAGATGCACTTCCGGGTCTTCCACAGGTGCAGATGCAGATGCAAGTGCAGGACCGAAACCTTCAAAATCTCGCTCAGGGGCACCCTCAGGCCACAGGTTACGCCATTCAGAGTTTAGGGTCCTCTGTGTCACTTCTTCCCAGGCCTTATTGATCAAACTTAAGGCACCCAGGATATTGAAGTGGTTCTTCCAGAATTCTTTGAGGTTAGCTCTGTATTGTCTATCATATCAACACACCTCTCCAACAAGGCCTTCATGTAGAGCTTCTTAAAGTTTGCAATGACTTTCTGGTCCATAGGTTGGAGGAGTGGAGTGTTATTGGGAGGAAGGAACTTGATGGTGATGAACTGATTTTCGGGAAACAATTCTTCTTGCATCTGTGGAGGATGTGCAGGAGCATTATCAAGCACAAGCAAGGCCTTGAGTGGCAACTGCTTCTCTTCAAGATATTTCCTCACTGAAGGGCCAAAAACTTCATTGACCCATTCAGTGAAGAATATCCGTGTGACCCAGGATTTCTTATTGGACTTCCACATCACATTCAGTCGCACCTTGAACACTTTACATGCCTTGAACACGCGTGGATTTTCTGAGTGGTAGACTAGCACCAGCTTGACCTTGCAATCGCCACTTGCATTAGCGCAGAACACGAGAGTAAGCCGATCCTTCGTCGGTTTGTAAGCCAGGCAAAGATTGTTCCTCCTGTGTGATGTAGGTCCTCTTCGTCATTTTCTTCCAAAACAGACCAGTCTCATCACAATTAAAAACTTGTTGGGGCAAGAACTCCTCTCTAGCCACAAATTCCTCGAACTCTGGTACAAATTTCTCAGCAGCAGCTTTATCAGAGCTGGCAGCCTCCCCATGTCGCACAACACTGTGGATACCGCTTCTCTTCCTAAATTTCTCAAACCATCCACGGCTTGCCTTAAATATCTCCTCCTCTTCAGACTACGCACCTGGTGTCTTCCTGACAAGGTCCACATACAACTTCTTGGCCTTTGCACAAACAAGAGCTTCAGACACACTATCACCATGTGATTGCCTTTCATTCATCCAGACCAGCAGTAGCTTTTCAACCTCTTCTAGGATTTTTGGATGTTTCTTGGTAATCTTGGTAACTCCTTTAGCCACCTCAAGCGTCTTAAATTGTTCCTTCCTCTTCAGAATGGTACAAATCGTTGATGAGGACCTGCCATACTTCCTGACGAGATCAGTCACACGCACACCTCGCTCGTGCTTTGCTATGATTTCCTTCTTCACTTCCACGGTAATTGTCACTTTCTTCCCCTTCTCAACACTGTCTTTAGCAAGCAACATCATGTGTTACAAATTGCAGTCACAAAACAACAACAAAAAAACAGAGAAAAGTGCAAATAAATCCAGAGGGATGCTTGTCGTGTGCGATACAACAACAACACTGGCGTCGGAGGCATCCGAGAATTTGCGAGAACCCGCGAGATGCTAGGAAGCACCATGTGGTTTTGCTCGTTAATAGAGGTGAAGCTCGTCAATAGAGACAAATTTGCTGCGAGTGGGTCTCTCATTACTGGAAATGCTCGTAGATAGAGCCGTTCGTTAATCGAGGTGCCACTGTATTAAGAAAAAATTGGGACTTGGTAACGAACCCCGTCTTGGAGTATCTCTCCTCTCTTTCTTTTTGTATTTGGTTATTGTGTCTAGCTCCATCATTTGAATATTTTTAAGAGGCTGTTGGTATATAAGACTTACTTTATTAATTTCAGACTTGATGATTTACATGAAGAAAAGGATATTAGCTGCAGAATTCTGATTGAGAAAATGGTGAGCAGTAAGCCTTCAGAACGCCCACCTACATCAGCTGTTCTTAAACATCCTTTTTACTGGAGCCCTGAAAAAGTTCTTGGCTTCTTTCAGGTGAGTTCTTTTTTATCACCTGATTGATGATGTTCGAACTATTTAATTTTGGTTATCTAAGGTAATATTCACATTTCCAGCTTTTCCTTCTCTTTGCAGTTATGATACTGCTGTCCATTATAACATTTCTTGCCCTTTTAAGTTTGCCTTGTGTACAACTACCACAGATCAGTTTCAGCTATATTATGAGCATATATATATATATTTAGGTTTTATTGCCATACCAGTAGTTTGTTTACCATTTATATTTAATCATAAACCCAGTATACCTGTGCATAAATTGTCATGTGTGATTGTTCCCATTTGATTCTGTTTTGTAGGATGTTAGCGATCGTGTTGAGAAAGAAGGTGGAGACAGTATGGTTGTAATGAACCTAGAGCGAGGTGGTGTTGATATTGTGCGTAGGGACTGGAGACAACACATGCATCCTACCGTAGCAGAAGACCTCCGTAGATTTAGAGACTACAAGGGTCGTTCTGTTAGAGACTTGCTTCGTGCTCTCAGAAATAAGGTAAAGTATTTATTCATATCAATTTCTTATTTGCAAGTGCCTTGGGGGAGGATGTCACCCCCAACCATCACAAACCTCACCCTGACCCTCACACACCTCACCCCAAACCTCACACACCTTTCCCCGACCCTCACACACCTCACCCCAAACCTCACACACCTCACCCCAAACCTCACACACCTCTCCCCGACCCTCACACACCTCACCCCCTCACACACCTCTCCTTGACCCACACACACCTCTCCCCGACCCTCACACAACTCACCCCCTCACACACCTCTCCTTGACCCACACACACCTCTCCCCGACCCTCACACACCTCACCCCCTCACACACCTCTCCTTGACCCACACACACCTCTCCCCGACCCTCACACTCCTCACCCCCTCACACACCTCTCCTTGACCCACACACACCTCTCCCCGACCCTCACACACCTCACCCCCTCACACACCTCTCCTTGACCCACACACACCTCTCCCCGACCCTCACACACCTCACCCCCTCACACACCTCTCCTTGACCCACACACACCTCTCCCCGACCCTCACACACCTCACCCCCTCACACACCTCTCCCCGACCCTCACACACCTCTCCCCGACCCTCACACACCTCTCCCCGACCCTCACACACCTCTCCCCGACCCTCACACACCTCTCCCCGACCCTCACACACCTCTCCCCGACCCTCACACACCTCACCCCCTCACACACCTCTCCTTGACCCACACACACTTCACCCCGACCCTCACACACCTCACCCTGACCCACACACACGTCACCCCGACCCTCACACACTTCACCCCGACCCTCACACACCTCACCCCGACCCTCACACACCTCACCCCGACCCTCACACACTTCACCCCCCGACCCTCACACACCTCACCCCGACCCTCACACACCTCACCCCGACCCTCACACACCTCACCCCGACCCTCACACACCTCACCCCGACCCTCACACACCTCACCCCGACCCTCACACACCTCACCCCGACCCTCGCACACCTCACCCCGACCCTCACACACCTCACCCCGACCCTCACACACTTCACCCCGACCCTCACACACCTCACCCCGACCCTCACACACCTCACCCCGACCCTCACACACCTCACCCCGACCCTCACACACTTCACCCCGACCCTCACACACTTCACCTCGACCCTCACACACCTCACCCCGACCCTCACACACTTCACCCCGACCCTCACACACCTCACCCCGACCCTCACACACCTCACCCCGACCCTCACACACTTCACCCCGACCCTCACACACTTCACCCCGACCCTCACACACCTCACCCCGACCCTCACACACCTCACCCCGACCCTCACACACCTCACCCCGACCCTCACACACCTCACCCCGACCCTCACACACCTCACCCCGACCCTCACACACTTCACCCCGACCCTCACACACTTCACCCCGACCCTCACACACTTCACCCCGACCCTCACACACCTCACCCCGACCCTCACACACTTCACCCCGACCCTCACACACTTCACCCCGACCCTCACACACCTCACCCCGACCCTCACACACTTCACCCCGACCCTCACACACCTCACCCCGACCCTCACACACCTCACCCCGACCCTCACACACCTCACCCCGACCCTCACACACCTCACCCCGACCCTCACACACCTCACCCCGACCCTCACACACCTCACCCCGACCCTCACACACCTCACCCCGACCCTCACACACCTCACCCTGACCCTCACACACCTCACCCCAAACCTCACACACCTTTCCCCGACCCTCACACACCTCACCCCAAACCTCACACACCTCACCCCAAACCTCACACACCTCTCCCCGACCCTCACACACCTCACCCCCTCACACACCTCTCCTTGACCCACACACACCTCTCCCCGACCCTCACACACCTCACCCCCTCACACACCTCTCCTTGACCCACACACACCTCTCCCCGACCCTCACACACCTCACCCCCTCACACACCTCTCCTTGACCCACACACACCTCTCCCCGACCCTCACACTCCTCACCCCCTCACACACCTCTCCTTGACCCACACACACCTCTCCCCGACCCTCACACACCTCACCCCCTCACACACCTCTCCTTGACCCACACACACCTCTCCCCGACCCTCACACACCTCACCCCCTCACACACCTCTCCTTGACCCACACACACCTCTCCCCGACCCTCACACACCTCACCCCCTCACACACCTCTCCCCGACCCTCACACACCTCTCCCCGACCCTCACACACCTCTCCCCGACCCTCACACACCTCTCCCCGACCCTCACACACCTCTCCCCGACCCTCACACACCTCACCCCCTCACACACCTCTCCTTGACCCACACACACTTCACCCCGACCCTCACACACCTCACCCCGACCCTCACACACTTCACCCCGACCCTCACACACTTCACCCCGACCCTCACACACCTCACCCCGACCCTCACACCTCACCCCGACCCTCACACACCTCACCCCGACCCTCACACACCTCACCCCGACCCTCACACACCTCACCCCGACCCTCACACACCTCACCCCGACCCTCACACACCTCACCCCGACCCTCACACACCTCACCCCGACCCTCACACACCTCACCCCGACCCTCACACACCTCACCCCGACCCTCACACACCTCACCCCGACCCTCACACACCTCACCCCGACCCTCACACACCTCACCCCGACCCTCACACACCTCACCCCGACCCTCACACACCTCACCCCGACCCTCACACACCTCACCCCGACCCTCACACACTTCACCCCGACCCTCACACACTTCACCCCGACCCTCACACACCTCACCCCGACCCTCACACACTTCACCCCGACCCTCACACACCTCACCCCGACCCTCACACACCTCACCCCGACCCTCACACACTTCACCCCGACCCTCACACACTTCACCCCGACCCTCACACACTTCACCCCGACCCTCACACACCTCACCCCGACCCTCGCACACCTCACCCCGACCCTCACACACCTCACCCCGACCCTCACACACCTCACCCCGACCCTCACACACCTCACCCCGACCCTCACACACTTCACCCCGACCCTCACACACTTCACCCCGACCCTCACACACCTCACCCCGACCCTCACACACTTCACCCCGACCCTCACACACTTCACCCCGACCCTCACACACCTCACCCCGACCCTCACACACTTCACCCCGACCCTCACACACCTCACCCCGACCCTCACACACCTCACCCCGACCCTCACACACCTCACCCCGACCCTCACACACCTCACCCCGACCCTCACACACCTCACCCCGACCCTCACACACCTCACCCCGACCCTCACACACCTCACCCCGACCCTCACACACCTCACCCCGACCCTCACACACCTCACCCCGACCCTCACACACCTCACCCCGACCCTCACACACCTCACCCCGACCCTCACACACTTCACCCCGACCCTCACACACCTCACCCCGACCCTCACACACCTCACCCCGACCTTCACCCTCAGAAATAAGGTAAATTATTTATTCATATCATTTGTTATTTGTAAATACCTTGGGGGAGGATGCTCATTTGTATATGAATATGGTAAAAAATTAACTCCGCTAGTGTAGGCTTTTTCTGTGGAGAGCCCCTTCCGCTCTCCGGAGCTATACCGGGCTGATGTGTATATATTAGACTGTGGCAACAGTCAATCGAAGGAGTTCTAAGCCTACCGGGGACCAGAGCCAGAACCTGGCCCCCTCAAGAGAGGCACGAGGAGCAATGGCCTAAAGACACCCCCGTGTAATTGGAAGCAGTCTTTGTCTGCCATCTACCAGGTCAGGCACCCAGAAAGGTAGCAATTTCAAAACAAACTACTGCTTGTCAAAAATTGCAAACCGCCGCGCATCCGTCTGCGAACCCCCCCCCCCCCCCCCGGGAGGGGGCCAGGGGGTTCCCAGACCTTCACGCTGGCAACTCTCTTCAGTTCAAGAGGCTGTTGTGTTGGTGACGGTCGATCACTCTAGCTCCACTCTTTATGCAGTGCTGCATTGCAGTGTTGTTGCTCTGTTTTGGTAGTGTGTGAGCCAGAAGTAACACAAGAGTACTGGGGCTGCATGCACCTAGGGCTACCTTCCCTAGGTGCCCAGTAAGTGCTGCCTTTGCGGCCTCAGGGTTATCTTTCATGAGCCGTTCAGGAGCAGATACCTCCGTGTGGTTCTGTCCTGCTCAGTGATTGGTGGGGACTCAGCTGGGGAAGTCTTACTCCGGCCTCAGGGTTATCTTTCATGAGCCGTTCAGGAGCAGATACCTCCGTGTGGTTCTGTCACTGCTCAGTGATTGCCCGCTCTTGGGGACTCAGCTGGGGAAGTTCTTACTCCTATTTACCCTTGGGTAGGAGGTAGTTTCGTTGCTGACTTGGGCGCGAGGTACTGTGCAGCTGTCTGATATACGCATAGCGACCGGTTCTGTTCACCTGGAGATATTGTGCTTTTGCGAGGTTTTCTTTTGTTTTTGTTTTGATTTGCTAGTCTGATGGTAGGACCACTTGTAGGATTTTCATCCCCCTTCATTCTTGCTTTTCTGGTGGACTCTGCTTTTTCTCCAGAGGCAGAGGGTTTGGAGGATGGCTCGGCCCCTGGTCCTGACATGGAGGATTCCTGGGCGCGGAAGGAGTTGACTTGAGGGGGCCTCGGGCCCCACTTGTCCCTGCTTGGGTGTTTGGTACCCTCAGCACGGGGCTTGTTGTTACAAGGGAAGAGGGTTTCCCTATCCCCCTCCCTGTACGATTTTGTTAAGAGTTCGACTCCTCGACTTTTTTGGAGGCCTGGTCAACGACCGGGCCGCGGGGACACAAAGCCCCGGAAGCACCTCAAGGTAACCTCCCCGGGTTCGGTTTCGAGTTCCCTTGGGTTCTTTGGTTCCCTCCTTCTGGAGGTTTTTGGCTTCCCGCATCCCACCGAGGAAGGTGTAGGAGGAGACCCTTGCATACCTCCTGCGAGACCCGGATTATGCTTCGATAATGAAGCCTTCTTTTGAATTTGACTCCCCTTTTCCTTATTGGCTACGTTACAAGGTGCCGAAGGCTGGCAGACTGCCTTTTCTTTTGTTGGGGGCTTGGCATTCGTCTTGTCAGACTGCGCACTTGAATGGCGAGTGTTGACTACGGTCGTTCAGGTTTTCCTGGGGGTCGAGTTGGAGCACCTCAATGTGTGTTTATTCACCCCCGTCCTTCCTTATGATGTCGGCCAGGTGTGGTTTCACGTGCAAGTTCCCTTCTTTTCAGCATCCCTGGTGGCCGAGGATTTGTGGGCACTTGGCTTCGGTCTTGCACTTCTTTTTCCTGCTGGAGCTGTCTTCGGACTGGCTCATGGTGGGTGTGGAGGAGCTGGGTTCCAGGCCAGTGTCCGGTGTACTTGCTTCGGCAGCTCGGGCGCCGGCTGCTCTGTTGAAGTTGTATGTGCCGTTTCTGAGGGAGGAGGTGTCTGTTCTTCGCTTCTCGTTTCGCGTGCTGACAGGCGGTGCTCGTCCAATTTTTGGAATCATCTTGGACCCTGGCTTTTGGATTTTCTTCCCTTTTTTTGTCCATTGCTGTTTACAGAGTCTGTGGGGGTGCATTTTCTACAGGCGACTTCATCTCGTTGACGGCCTATGTCGGACTTGTAGGTTCTTCTACAAGTCCAGGGGTATTGGGACTTGCAGGGCGGGCCTCTTCCCCTGCGCTCTGTCAGGTCATCCTGAAGTGGGTTTCATGCCTGTTTTCAGTTCCGAAACGGGACTGGGCAGATCTGCGATTCATACTGGACTTGTCCCGTCTGATCCCCTAGGTCTTTTGCCCCTCCTTTCAGATGACCACTCTGTCTCGGGTCCGGCGGCTTTTGGTGCAGGGTGCCTAGATGGTGTCTTCCGGGACGCATATTAGCACGTCCCGATTCATCCAGTGTTCAGGGACTGGCCCGGTTTTGTTGTGGAGTGACAAACTTACCAATTTTGTTGCCTTCCTTGAGGTTATCTTGAGATGATTTCGGGGCTTTAGTGTCCCTGCGGCCCGGTCCTTGATCAGGCCTCCACCCCCAGGAAGCAGCCCGTGACAGCTGACTAATTCTCAGGTACCTATTTACTGCTAAGTAAACAGGGGCATCAGGGTGAAAGAAACTCTGCCTATCGTTTCTCGCCAGCGCCCAGGATCGAACCCGGGACCACAGGATCACGCGTCCAGTGTTCTGTCCGCTCAGCCACTGGCTTCCTGCCTTCCTTCCAGTTTGGATCTGGCACCTGGCGTGTCCACACGCCTTAACCGGGTCGTGGTGACCCGTTTGAGGTCTGGCTTATCTTGACGATTGGCTGATGTGGGCTCCTAGCCAATCTGCATGTCGCTCGCCAGGGATTTGGTTCCTTACCAGCTCGCCGGGTTCGGGTTCTTGTGTACTGGAAGAAGGCCCATTTGGTTCCCTCTCAGGTTCGGACTGGGCTGGGTCTTGTGTGGGATTTTCGGACCGCTTCCTTGTCCCTCCCTCTGGCAGTGTTGTTGCAGCTGCGGTCTCACTTACGACTGTTTTCGGAGGGCACCAGGGTCACACGTCGGTTGTTTGGGTGGCGGTGCAGGACCCTGAGCTTGGCCATGCTGGTCTACCAGTCGGGTCGGATCTGGCTTCGGCGGATGTTCTGATTTCTTCGGGAGCGTCCCTTCCGCCGCTCTCGTGATCACTGTGTTTGGATCCCGGGAGCCTTGCGTCGGCTGCTGCGTCGCTGGCTTCCTCTGAGGGTTTTTTCGGGTTCTATGCCCTCACACCTTCCCGAGCCCTCACTTGATGTGTTCACGGATGCCTCGTCTCTCGACTGGGGTTTTGTGACCAGTGCTCACCAGGCCAGCCAGAGTCACTGAGGTCCGTCCTTCTGTCAGGCTCACAGCACGGCGCAGGAGTTCTCGGTGGTGTGGCATTTGCTTCAGAGGTTTCGTGTTGCTCGTGGAGCATTGATCCGGCTCCATTCGGACTGCTCCCCGGTGGTTGATTGTCTGAACCGCGGCAGTTTGATGCAGTCCTTGGCTTTGTGGAGCTGATCGCTTCAGGTGACTCGTTTGCTGAGTTCTCGGGGTTTGGCTCTCCTGGCAGTTCACGTTATGGGGTGTCAGACGTCCTGGCGGATGGCTTGTCTTGTCTTTGTTTCAGGTCCGTCTTCTTATGCCAGACCCTGCTGCCTCGTTTCGGGTGGCGCTGGCGGAGCCACTGTAGCTTGCGTTTGGGGTGGATGTCACTTCTGCTCTGTTACGCAAGCTTTCTCAGTCGTTGTTTTTACCTCCGGCCTGCTCATGCACCGCCTGAGCTGTCCTGGCTGTTGCACCGGGTGCTCTCTTTTCCCTTCTCCTCGGTTTGGGGTGGCCCCCGGTTCAGGACTGTTTTTCTTCGGCTCTTTTCTTGTTGGCATTGGCCTCTGGGGGTCGGATTGGAGTGTTTCATGCCCTCCTCTGGCACAGGGGTTTCTGCTCTTTCGATCCTGGAAGTCTTTTCTTCCTTTGCCGTCTCCTTCTTTTCTGGTGAAGAATGAGTCTGCTGCTCATCAGCATCAACAACCAAAGGGGTCCTTGGGTTGTTGATGCTTGGTTGGTTTGGCCGGGGGTGCATCATGTTTTGTGTCTGTGGCTCTTTGCCGTTATTTGTGCATTACAGCCTCTGTGGCAGAGGGTGCGCTTTGGGTTGACCCAGTTTCCCTTCTTCCCTATTCTAGGGTGCGGGTCTCCCAGGTTGTCCACAGAATTATTCGGTCCTGCCAGCCTGCGGTCTTTCCCCTTGCCCACGCTATTCGTAAGTTCGGCATTTGGCTGCTTTTTGGTAATGTCCTGGCCTGTCTTTTGGACACGGGGTCAAAGGTTGTGGCCTTATCTTGACTTTGAGTTGAGGAGCAAGTGACGACCACCTCCCGAGTGTGTCCCTTTTCTTCTTATCTTTGGTTAGGTAGCTCCGGGAAGCCGAAGGGGTTCTCCACAGAAAACCAGCATTGAATGTAATGAAATGCCATTTTCTGGGTGAGACCCGGAGGCTCCCTGGCATCCCTCCCTCCCTCCAGTCGGTGGTTTTTCACGTTTTTGATACTCAGCCCTCTGAACTGAGGAGAATTGCCAGCGTGGAGATCTGGGACTCGTGGGGGGTTGCGCAGACAGATGCGCTGCAGTTGTGGTGACGTCATGTTTGTTTCCTTGTTTTTGAATGGGGAGTTCTGTTTGCTAATTCGGCTTTCAGTTTTCAATTTTTGACCAGTAGTAGTTTGTTTTGAAATTGCTACCTTTCTGGGTGCCTGACCTGGTAGATGGCAGACAAAGACTGCTTCCAATTACACGGGGGTGTCTTTAGGCCATTGCTCCTCGTGCCTCTCTTGAGGGGGACCAGGTTCTGGCTCTGGTCCCCGATAGGCTTAGAACTCCTTTGATTAACTGTTGCCACAGTCTAATATATACACATCAGCCCGGTATAGCTCCGGGGAGCCTCCGGGTCTCACCCAGAAAATGGCGTTTCATTACATTCAATGCTGGTTTTCTGAAATAATCCATTCAGATGCTGTCCTAAAGCAAGACCACTGGATGTCTCACTGGATGGGATCAGGATTGACAGGGCAGGGTGGCATTCGGCTCTTCCATAGCTGGGATTTTCTGTCCCTGCCATGTCATACTGGTGCTAGAGGTATACTGGGTAAAGAATCATTCAACATTTGGTGCTTTTACAAACCCCCTGCTTGGCATCACGAGGACCCCCTAGTAGTGCTTGCATCAAATCGCTGGTTTCCCCACATGGCTGCTTACTCCAATTGCCATCAGATGGCAGCACCCTTACCAACATGAAGTCCCAGTGTGAAAACTCATGGTACTGTAGTTGGGCAGACTTGTGATTTGATTAAATTATGTACCTTGTTTTCTTCAACATATCTCCACCACTCCCCTTAAATTATTTAACATAGTGTATCTCACTACAGAGGAATCATTACCGGGAGCTTAAAGAAGAAGCTCGATTAGTCTTTGGTCGCATCCCAGACGAGTTCGTTGCATATTGGACTGATCGCTTTCCAAAACTTCTGCTTCACACATGGTATGCTATACACTGTGTCAAGACTGAGCCAATCTTCAGCAAATACTATGATGAGCACTACAATTTCTGTCAGGTTAGTGGAATTTCTTATGTTGAGGTGAAGAGCCTCTGCTAAAGTGTATTGAGCTAATAACATTCGAGTATATTATTGTTTACACAATTAAAATGTAGATGATTTTAATTATTCCAGCTGGACTTCTTGTTATGGATTTTGTATTCATAAAAATACTGAACTGTACTGTATATGCATTTTACTGATTCATTCTCCACCTGATTAAATGTATTGGACATATCCACACAGTATATTTGGTGTGATGTAATATTTAGGAAATGATAAGTAAATTAAAAATTGTAATTACTACAAACCACTTTCACTCTAAAATATATTCTCATACTTAACAAATCTTTTTACTGATGATAAAACATTAGAGTAAAGTAAAATATGTTATCCAGTAATCTAGTACAGTATCTGGATTTTCAGCATTTCAACACTGTCTCCCAATACAAACACACATTGTAGAATCTGGGATCAAGTATGATTCCATCCACCAAACATCACAACCTGAACCTTTTGCTCTTGGCTTCTTTTCTGTGGAAACCCCCTCCGGCTCCCCGGAGTTATACCGGGCTGATATGTTTGTATTAGACCGTGGCAATACTCAATTCTAATGGAGTTCTAAACCTACTGGGGACCATGAGCCAGAACCTGGCCCCCTCAGAGAGGCACGAGGAGCAATGGCCTATAGAAACCCCCATGTGGTTGGAAGCATTCTATGTCTACCATCGACCGAGTTAGACACCTAGTAAGGTAGGTGTGCCAAAACAGACCCCAACTGGTAAAACATTACTATCAAAAACCGAACTGCTAAACAGAACTCCCCAATCTGAAAATAAGCAAACAATCATATCTCACCTGCCACCACGCTGCCTGTCCATGCAGCTTCCCTCTCCCCCGGAGGGAAAAGTGGGAGTCCCAGGCCCCGCACCGACTAGACAGCCCCAGTTCTGAATCTGATGTGTTGAGTGGAAGTTGTTCAACTCTATTTCCTGATTCTTAGCAGACCTGTGCCTTGAGGTTACCTTGAGATTCATGAGGTTATCTTGAGATGATTTCGGGGCTTAGTGTCCCCACAGCCCGGTCCGCAACCAGGCCTCCACCCCCAGGAAGCAGCCTGTAGCAGCTGTCTTAACTCCTAGCTACCAATTTACTGCTAGGTAACAGGGGCATCAGGGTGTAAGAAACATTTTCTCCATTTGTCTCCGCCTCCACCGGGGATCGAACCTGGTTCCTCAGGACTACGAATCCAAAACACTGTCCACCCAGCTGTCAGGCACCTTGTGTGGAACAGCCTTGTGGGGTTGTTCTGCTGTGTTGTGATGTGAGAGTCAGGAGTAATTCAAAAGTACTAGGGCTGCATGCGCCTAGGGCCTTCTTCCCTAGATGCCCTGTAAATACTGCCCTTGCAGCTTGGGGTTGCCTTCCACAAGTCACTCAGGAACTACCTTCGCAGGATATTTTGCTGCTCGGTGATTACCCGCCCTTGGGGTCAGCTGGGATTTTGCGTAACTGCTATTTGGCCTTCGGTAGGAGGTAGTGTCATCACTGGTAGGGACTCAAGGTACTGTACAGCTTGTCTTGTAATATCATAACGGCCGGTTCTGTTCACCTGGAGACGCTGTACTTTTGCGCGGGTTTTCTTTTTTGTTTTTGTTTTTGCCTGGTTGGGGTTCTGCCTCTTGGTCATAGCTCACCTTCTGTTATTATGGTGGTCCCCCGCTAGACCCCCGTGATTGTATAGGTCGCAGGGGTTCAGCTTTTGTTGCTTGTTTGGTAGTTTTGGGGTATCCGGTTAGTAGTACCTTGCTTGGGCTTCCCTTAGCAGTCAGTCTAAGGGCCCTGGAAACCCCCATTGGGGCTCATTGGTCTGATGGATGTGTCCTCGAGTCCTATCTCGCTTCATGCAAGTTTGAAGGTTGCTCTGTCCTCTTCTCTCAGGGTGACACTTACCATTGTGCCTCCGTCATGCTGCCTGTTGGGCGATGACACCTTTGACCCGGAGTTCTACGAGGGTGTTCGCTGTTGGTTCTTCAGTTCACCCAGTCCAATAATACTGTTGCTCGGGTGCAGGCAGCATCGGCATTGCATGTATGGTTTAGGTTGCTGCAACACTCTAGGTTGGTTGCCTTTCCAGATGCCACGCGACTGCCCCACTCTGGTTTAGGGACCCGGACGTGGGGGCATTAGTCGCTTTGACTGTTTTCGTCTGCGCTCCCTCGTCTTTACCCTGTTGTATGTCCTGCTCCCCCTTTCACCCCACTTCCCCTGCTACCGGCTCCCAAATGTCTGAGGGTTTCGGAATTGGGGCAGGGTTTAGCTGGTGGCAAGACTTTGGCGGTTTCGGGGGCTGTCCCATCCGGTTTGGCGATGGAGGCACTGGAGCTGGCTCCTCCTTCTGGGTCTGACAGCGGGCCCCCATCTTCCCAGCCTATCTGGTGGGCTCTGCCTTTTCTTCAGGCGTAGAGGGTTTGGAGGACAACTCTGCTCCAAGTCCTGACATGGAGAATCTCGGGGCTGGGGAGTTGTCTTGGGGGCTTGGGTCCCATTTGACTCCGCTTGGGTATTGGTACCCTTGGTGCAGGGTTTGCTGTTACAGGAGGAGGAGTTTTCCTATCCCTCCATCCCTATACGAGATTGATATGAGTACAGCTCCTCCCCAAGTTCAGTTCTGGGTTCTCTTGTGTTCCTCGGTCCCTTCCTTCCGGAGGTTTTCGGCCTCCTGCATCCCACCTAAGGAGGTTTGGGAGGTCATTTACCTCCTGCATGACCTGGATTTTGCCTTTGTAGTGGATCCTTCCTCGTTTCAGTTTGGCACAACTTTTCCTTATTGGGAGCGTTATGAGGTGCCAGAGTCGTCCTGGTTGGCAGACTGGCCATTCTTTTTGCAGGGTGCATGGCATACGTTCTGTCGGACCCACACGCTTGAATGGCGGAAAGCATCTACTGTGGTTTGGGTTTATCTGGGGGGCAACTTTAAGCGCATCAGTGTGTGTGTGTGTGTGTTTGTCCCTGCTCTTCCTAAGGATGTCAGCCAGGTGCAGCTTCACGTGCAGGTCCCCCACCGTTTTGGCGTCTCTTGTGGCTGAGGATTTGCGCGCCCGTGGGCATTTGGCTTCGGTCTTGGATTTCTTTTCCCTTCTTGAGCTGTCTTTGGGCTGGCTTGAGGAGGATGTGAGGCACTGGGGGGCCGGGCCAACGTCTGGTGCGCTTACCTCAGCGGCTCAGGTGTCGGCTGCCTTGTTGAAGTTGTTTGTGCCGATCCTCAAGGAGACGGCGTCTGTGTTCTTTGCTTCTCGCCTCGCGTGCTGTCAGGCTGTGCTCGCTCCCTCCTTGGAATCCAGTTGGGCCCTGGCTCTTAGGATTTCATCACCCTTTTGCTTGTTGCTGTTTGCAGAGTCTGCGGTTATGCAGTATCTGCAGGCGGCTTCATCTAGTTGTCGGCCTATGTCGGACTTGTTGGTTCTCCAGAGTGGACGTGGGGGTCCTGCCCGGAAGGGACGTGTCAGGATTCGGAGTTCCCTCGGTTGTGGTGGACCAGCAGTGCCAGTTTCAGAGCCGGCGGCATTTGGTCAGCGTGGTGTTCACTCTGTGCGTCGGTCGGCTTCTCATAAGGATGCGTCGGCCCTTTCACGGTTCGCCCCATTGATGGGGCAATGGGGAAAAAGCTCGCTCTGTGTGTTCACACCTGGTCCCACAATTTGTGGGCGTTTCGGGTCATTTCCTCCGGCCTGCGGTGGCGTTGGCAAGACCTCTTGATGGGTGGGGGAGGCTGCAGATCTGATCTTCATTCTGGGCTTGTCCTGTCTGAATCCCTGAGTCTTTTGCCCCTCCTTTCGCATAACCACTCTGTCCAAGATCAGGCTTCTTTTGGAGCCGGATGCTTGGGTGGTGTGTCTGGACCTCCAAGATGAGTATTGGCACGTCCTGACTCATCCAGGGCTCAGGGACTGGCTCGGTTTTGTCGTGGGTCATCAAGCTTACCGCTTTCATTGCCTTCCATTCAGCTTGAATCTGGCACCTCGCATTTTCACACGCCTTACCCGGGTCGTGGCGACCCACTTGCATCTGTTAGGGGTTCGGGTTCTGGCCTACTTCGATGACTGGCTGGTGTAGGCTCCCAACTGGTCTGCATCTCTGCTCGCCAGGGATTTGTTTTTTCCCCAGTTCGCCAGGTTCAGGTTCTTGGTGAACTGGCGAAAGTCCCATCTGGTTCCCACTCAGGTTCGAACTTGGCTGGGTGTTGTCTGAGACTCTCGGACCTCTTCCTTGTCTCTCCCTCCGGTGTCGTTGCTGCGGCTGTGGTTCCACTGTTTCTGAGGAGCTCCCAGGTCACTCGTCAGTTGCTCAAGCAGCTTAATGGGAGTCTGAACTTCGCCGTGCTGGTTTACCCACCGAGTTGGGTCTTTTTTTGGCATCTGTTCTGGTTCCTTTTGGGACATCCCTTCCGCCGCTTTGGCAATCATTGGGTTCGTCCTCCAGGGGCATTGTGACAGCTGCTGCGTCACCGGCTTCAACTTCATGTTTTTCGGGATTCAGTGTCATGGCGCCTACCCCAGCCCTCGTTCGATGTGTTCATGGAGGCCTCATCTCTCGGCTGGGGCTTTGTGACCAGTGCTCACCAGTCCGGCCAGGGTCGGTAGGATTTGTCCTTCCGTCAGGCTCACAGCATGGTGCGGGAGTTCGCAGCGGTGTGGCTTTCGTTTTGGAGGGTTTGTGCTGCTTGTGGATCGATGATCCGGCTCCATTTGGACTATGCCCAAATGGCACAGTTCACAGACTGTACCCCAAATGAGCAGGGGTTTCATTGCCTGAACAGAGGAGGTTTGATGCGGTCCTTGGCTCTTTGGGGCTGGTAGCTTCGGATGACTCATCTGCTGAGATCTCGGGTTTTGCTCTCCAGGCGGTTCATATCCAGGGAGTGTCCAACGTCCTGTTTGATGGCCTGTCTCGGTTCCTGCCTCTGTCCACGGAATGGAGGGTCGATGCCGACTTGTTCATTTGGCTTGTTCTGGGTG